TTGCATTAAATAATAACATGGTTTTATTTTGGTTTAGTATATTGTGCAAACACGGCAAGGGTGCTTATCAAACAAACCAGGGCTTACTATATATAAATTCAAGTCCCACATCAAGGACAAAAAAAAATTAAGCTAGCTTTTGCCTCAGTGTGCTTTTTCTTTTCCATTTTCTGGAGGACCATTCAATCATATTTATCACGGTCTTCTCCAAACGCAACTTCACCCATTCAGCAGCTGTGATAATCTGCTCTGCAACTAAACATACCTTAAAATCAGGGGTCCCCAAACTTGGCGACTTTAAGACTTGTGGAGTTCAACTCCCAGAATCCTATGCTGGCTGAGGAATTCTGGGAGTTGAAGTCCACAAGTCTTAAAGTTGCCAAGTTTGGAGACCTCTGCTTTAAAATCATAGGAGCTGCTCTCTAGGCCGTATAGTCCGCTCCTGTTCTGTATACAAGATTTTGGATTTGTAAGTAGATGCAACCCAAGAGAGAAGGTGCAACCGATCCAGAAATGGTTACTTACCGATGACCATCTCTTCTGCTTTAGTAGCTCTTACGAATGCAGTAATCTCCGAAACTTTCTCTGGTCCCTGCCTGGATCTGCTTTCTCGTCTCACTAAAGAAACTCTCCTTGATTCCACCATTTCGGGCTTGCCGTCTTTGAAGGTCTTTGCCATCTCCTTGGGACTTTTTCCTGAGGCCCCCAGATCTTCACCAAAGTCTTTTGGGGTGGAACTTGGACATGGGAGAGTCTTGCATTGACTTTCTCCTTTGTCTTCAGCCTTTGGAAGTGATGCTGGTGAAGGAGGACCTGACAGTTGAGGAATCTGCTGGCTCCTCTTATGGGGAGACTGGACTCCTTTCAGTTCTTGTGTGGACTCAGTCTCGCTGTCCTTTGAGGGCTCCTTGGCTTTAGGAGGTTCTTGCAAATGCTTCCTTCCTTCACCTATTGGCCACAGAGACAGCAGAGCCAACCCTCCAGCGTGTCTACCTGCAGAGCTACCAACACTTCCTTCTTTGCTTCTCAAAGTCTTGTCTGGAGCATCGTTCATCGGTGCAATGACTGAAGGCCTGCAAAGAAATCGGGGTTTAGATCTTTCCTCATAGCGTTTGAATTTAATTTAATCAATATTTGACCCGGTTGCTTCAGGAAGGCCTGGACTCAGGAAGAGCTTTCCTGGAGTTGGCAGGCTTCAAAAGTGTCTACACTGCACTCTACACTGCCCAAGGCTAGTTAGTGATTATGGATCTATGTTCTAACCTCTGGAGTACACTGGGAGGGGTGTGGTGGCCTAGAGGTGGAGCTCTGGCCTCATAATCAGGAGGCTGTGAGTTCGATCCTAGGCAGGGGTGGGCTTCAAAAATTTTAGCAATGGGTTATCTGCCTGGTTGATGGGTGGACGTGGCCTAGTTGGTCTCCTGCACCATGGGGGGGGGGTTGTCTTCCCTGGGCTCCGGAGGCTTTCCATGAGCTTCCGGGAGGGTGAAAATGGCTTCCCCAGGCTCCAGAGGCTCCCTGGAAGCCGGAAACAGGCCCATTTATGGTCTTCCCAAACTTCTGCGAGTCCCGTTTTTCACCCTCCCCAAGCTCCGCACATGCCCTGCACTTACCTGCATCTAAAATGGGCCTCATGGGGACTCCTGGGAGGGTTGGGCAGGGCCAGCCAAGAGTGGGATTTGGGGTTGTCCGAACTGCACAGAATCTTAGCTAGGGGCTCTCCTGAACCACTGCGAACTCCCAGCAACCCACCCCTGATCCTGGGTAGAGGCAGATATTTCTCTCTCTGGGAACAATAAGAATATATCCACTGAATATAACCCTGCATCAGAGATAGGAAGGGCATCCGGCCAGTAAACACTCTGCTAGGTCCATTCAGTTGCCAAGACTTCACTCCAATGCAAGGGATTATGGGGGTCATTAAAAGGAGATGATGATCTGGAGTACACCAGGTTGTGGAAGGCCAACAGAGATCCTATAATGAAATTTTGTCTTGCACCTCTTTCAGATGTGCTCATGGATATAGACATGACGATAAAATAGCTCCGTGGTCCTTTGCATCCTATACGACTATTCTAACTGCAGCAGGTCTCCAATCCCTTAAGCCAGGGGTCTCCAACCATGGCTACGTTCGACTTCAATTCCTAGAATTCCCCAGCCAGGGGGCTGAAGAACCAATGAGTGGAACCACAAACAAATATGTGTGATACCCAGTGGTGAGATTCAATTTTTTTTACTAACGGTTCTGTGGGTGTGGCTTGGTGGGTGTGGCAGGGGAAGGATACAGTAAAATCTGCAGTCAGAGATGGTATTTGCCAGTTCTCTGAACTACTCAAAATTTCCGCTACCGGTTCTCCAGAACTGGTCAGAACCTACTGAATACCACCTCTGAAGCAGGGCAATAAAGATTAGGCTAGAAACAACACCAGAATGTTTCCTTCCTGCCTTCCTTACAGGATTAGCCCTGTAAAGTGGGAAAAAAACAAAAGATTTCTTCCAACAACTGGTTCTCTGAACTGCTTAGAAAGTTAACAACCAGTTCTAGCAAATAGGTGTGAATTGGTTGAATCCCGCCACTGGTGATACCCTTTTTTCTTTTTACCACTGCTTCTTTACCAAGCAGCAGACTAATGGGAGGAAACCACTTAGCAATCACCAAAGATCTGAAGTGATCTCTAATGTATAAATATTGAAATCAGAGTTGTTGCAAATTGCTAGCATCTCTCTTTGTCTTCCCTGGGAAGAGAATGTTAAGCAGACTTAACTGGATGGGGTGTTTCATAGTATCTAAGTCTGTTTAATTCTGTACTCTCTTCCCCTGGGGGAAAAAAATTACAGCATTTGTAAAATAGAGATGGATTTTTGCAGGACGTTCAATTCAAATGCATCGGGTTTTTTTTGTTATCTGTTGATGCCCCCTAGTGGATTATCTCTGTATCAAAAGTAATCAGTTGAGCTAGTCTTTTATTAACAGATAACAGATAATCAGAGTTGGAAGGGACCTTCTAGGTCATCTAGTCCAGCGGTCGCCAACTGGTGGGCCACGGCATGGGAAAATTTTGGTGGGCCACAGAGAAATCTCACATCCAGAGCACCCCCCAAAGCAATTAATCCAGGCTGCGCGGAAACACCAGGCTGCGCTGCCCACATGGCCCGTGGGAACCCTCCTCACCCACTCACTCCTTACCCGGCAAACTTGCGTGCTAAGTTGCTATTTTTCCTTTTTTCCAACCATCATCTGTTCTGCTGTGCCTGGAGATTTAGATTAGCTAGGAAGCAGGAAATGGTTGGATTTCTTGCTTTCTAGTTAGTCTTTAGATCTTCCGCTCTGCTTTTAAAGCACAGCCAAACTTCCCTTAGGACTGAAGGTTCTATTATTCAGTGCAGACTCACGGCAAGCAAATTTGAGAGACTGTGCTAGCCGATGGCAGATAGATAGATCACTGAATGATTCTGTGAGCAACTCAATCTGCCTGCCTTTTTGCTTGATTTTGGGTAAAAGTTGCTCTTTTTTATTAAAAAAATATATCAATATTTATATAAATATTTATAATATTTACATACAAGCCATGCCCAGCCATTCACGTGACCACCAAGCCACACCCACAAATTAGGCCACGCCCACAGAACTGGTTAGTGGTCCCTGGGATTTAAAATTATGAGTTTGGTGGTCTCTGCGGTCCAAAAGGTTGGCAACCCCTGATCTAGTCCATTATTGAGTCAAGACAATCACATTTGGATCTATCCCCAAAGTCAATAATTTTTTCACCTTCTGCCACCTTTACACATTCACAAAGGATAGTCTGGACAATCCTCACCTCAGGATCATCCTAAATCTTATCAGATCTCAGATCTTGTTGAGATTTCATCAGTTTGTCCTTGGAGTCTTCAACTCCATTCTTGAAACTACCTTGAGACTCCCAACTTTGTAAACGTGAATTAGGGGGGGAAAAAAGGTTTTCCCTCCCTATCTACAAATATTCTTTTCTCAAAAGATTATATTATCTTTCTATTTCCACTTGGACAGTTTTGCAGAATTCTGTTTTTAACAGCACATCTCCTTGTAAGTCTTAAGGTCAAAAGGACAATACCGCTGTATGAAACTATAACTAAAACATATCGCAAAGTAGCACTGTTGTATTGCAAGGTGCTAACTTGAGAAGCACAGGAGATGCTATGTGTTGTAAGTATTTGTCAGGATACAGAAGGCACCGATACATTCCCTTGTCAGTAAAATTGTTCAGAAAATTTCAGTGCAGGAAATGCTTAACAGCAAATCTGGATCCAAAGAGGTCCATGCACTTTTATTGTGCTGTATTCCTTGGGGTTGCTCATTCACACAATATTGTCAGGAGGAACTGATTCAAAAAGTACTCATGGAAACATAGAATTCAGAAGGTCAGAAGTGAGCACAGAATCATCTAGCAGTGGCACAGTGGTTAGAATGCAGTTTGCAGGCTAATTCTGCCCACTGCCAGGAGTTCGATCCTGACTGGCTCAAGGTTGACTCAGTTTTCCACCCTTCCAAGGTTGGTAAAATGGGGACCCAGATTGTCGGGGGCAAGAGGCTGACTCTATAAACTGCTTAGAGAGGGCTGTAAAGCACAGTGAAGCGATATACAGGTCTACGCGCTGGTGCTACTAACCCTCCACAAAATGCAACAAAGCCAATTTAATCATCCTTAAGAGATGATTCAATTGCTGCTTCTTAAAGACCTCCAGAGACAGAGAAGCTACAACATTTGTAGGTAGAGGTACAACTTGGTCCTCAGGAATTTTTTTCCATATATTCAATAAAATAATTTATATTTACTCAGCATTCAGTTAACTTCATAACAATTGCTTTCACAGGGGGAAAAAAATTCAAGTTGCTAGGTTATCTAGCTTTAAATCAGCTTTCCTTCAAAGGAAAACTATCAATGGAGGTTGTACATCTATAGATGGTGGACCACTGAATGCTGGTCATGACAAAGTACCCATAAAACCTACTGCTTTTAAGCTGTCTGAAATATCATGGTGGGGATACAGGAAAGCATGAAGCTGGGTGAGATGCACCTCTGTTCTATTACAATCTTCTTTCTCAGAATCCAAGAATTGAACATCAGGAATTACCAATTACCTTGTCCTTATAACTTCACCACCAGACTTTGAGGTAGAAGACACAGCTTCCCCAGCAGGAGTGCCAAGTCCACTTGTTTCTCCTCCCTTCTGTTTTGGAGTCACCTGTTTCTGGGGAGATTTTTCTCCATCCATATTTTGGGTCTCCGTGGGATTGCTACCACTTGAGCAGAAAGGACCATCGTTCTGGACAATGTCTTCTTTTTGTCTGGGGCAATCCTTGGAGCCATTCGCCCATCCCAAAGGCTCTGTCGGTTCAAGCTGGGCCATCTTCTCTGCAGCACATGGCCTGGAGTCCTCCTTGGAAAGGACCACGCTGGACAAGTTTACCTTTTCACGTGTTCCGTGTTGCTCATCCAACTTGGTTCCCGTTTTGTTTTCTACAAAAATATTTTCACAGGAATAAGATAACCACTGGGGAAACATTGACAAGAGTTCACATCGCAAAAACAACTGTAAGAACTTAACAACTCCTCTCTTTTTATCATTTCTTCACATTTCTGAAATGTGTGCCTCATTGACCAGAGCCTATACTCTCTGAAAGAATGAATCTCTTACTTGTGGTTTCCCCCCAAGAACCCAACTTTTACTTCCCATCACTGCCACCCAGCACAACTGCAAAGGCCAACCTGGATCTTGCACTGGCATCAACATTGTAATGTTCATTAGATGTTGACCAGTTGTTCTGCTCCTGCCATTGACATCTCTAGTTTTTGTCCCAAGGGCTTGACTCCTTCTCTTATTGGCAACACTGAAGCAGTGGGGGCAGCTGTTCAGAGGTCACAGTCCAAAGTAAAGAATTTGGTGCCCTGGCTATCACCCTGTGCCTCTCAAATTAGACTTCAGGTGTAATCCTCTTGCCAAAAAAGAACTCAACAGTTGATCTCATTTTAATTTGGACTTAGAACCAAGGGAGTCAGCCATGTTCTGCAGCTTTCTTTTTATGGATGTTTTGGGCAGCAAAATATTGCAGTCAACTGGTGGCAGCAACTATATTCCCATTTCTCAAGGGCCAAGCAAGACCAATCTCTGGAGGGCCACGGATGTTAGGTGTGCTGAATAAGCTCTTGTCCTACAACGCACAGGTTGTTTGGGATATGCAATTTCAGATATTTGTGCAGGGTGGGGAAAGAACTGCAAGGTGGAAAAAAAGCCATTCCTTGAACAGATCAAAGTGAAACTCAGAAAAGCAACATACCTAAAGAGCAATTTCCACTTTAACAGTAAACATAGCACCTGAAGAGGGTCAGAATCAGTCCTGGCTAAACTATCTTCAGTTGCCAAGTGAGTGTATCTTTTGGCAGGTCTAAGGCTTAGAGAATGGGGCCTCTATAATTGTAAATGGCATACCGTGTTGAACCAATTAATTGAGTCAAATATTTGCTTTTTCAAAATATAGAATTCATACCACCGGCTAAGCTGGAATCACAAGGCTTTAAATGATTTTACAATTCAGTATATTGTGAAAATCTAGCTGTAAGAAGCAAGCTGTCACGTTAAACTATACTGTGATTGAATATTGCTTGCTCTGTGAATCGAATAATTATATCAAAATGGGTTTAGAATTTGGGCTTTTGGGTGAATCCAAATACATACAGTGTACAATTTTATGAAACAAATTTAAATCAAATATAGGCAACCTGGATTTTGCCAGGTGATTGGACATCAACTTCCATAATCCCCAACTAGTAGGGTCAATAAGAAATTAGGATGTTAGTAATCTTTTCAGCATTTGGAGGTCACCAGGTTGCCTTCGCTGGCCTTAAACAGTCCTATTAATTTATTACCACACATTAAAGATTCTGCCTCAACATTATTTAACAGAAAGTATCTGTAAAATACCTTCCAAAGAATTGTTGCTTTCTGTTTGTATTCCTTTCTTGGGAGTCGCATGCTTTCCTTTTGAACCTTTGTCTTCTGGCTTGTCTTTAGTCTAGAAAAGTTTTTTAAAAAAACCACAAGGTCAATTATACCCATTTCTTGCTAAAACTGAAACGCTGTTTATTGCTTCCAGTGTGGACAGCACAGGAAATCAAAGAAAATGAAAGTTAAGAGTATTTCATTACTTCCAGCTACTGTTTCTTCTTGCCTGTTTGCAGACATAGTAGGGGAGAGGTTGCTGGTTGAATAGGTAGATTGAATTATGGAAATCAAGAGGTGCTGAACACCTTCAACAATGTGAAAGAATTAACATCCATATCTCAAGTTTCCTCCATTTGTTGCCCTTGCTCACCTAGGATAATCTGTCCCAGACATACCAATTAATGGTTCCAATAAGGGCTGCATCCTGTATTGTGAGATATCCTGAGTATCTATGACATGAAACTCATTTCAGAGCTCAACAAATCACAACATTGTCCCAACCTGATTGGTGGAACTCCCATTCCAGAAGCCCTTGTGATGATCTACCTTAGATTAGCAACATACTTGTCCTTAACCATGCCATTTTTGGAAAAGTTAAGCCTTAGGTACTAGATCCACAATAAGAGCTATCCCATCCTTGTGTTCATTAGCTTCTTCTGGAGAATTACCTTGCTAAGAATTAAGCTACTGGTCTATGGGACACCATGGCTGCATGCTTCATGAGTTTAGTTTGCTTGCTCCTGTTCCTTACCACTCCTGCTACTATGAGTCGAACTTTGATGCTTACAATCCATAAAATTCATTGCTAATTACCATTAGCAAACCCCTCTATTCAACCATTCCACCAGCTATTTCAAAGTCAGGTGATTTTGATGTTTATTTGATGTTTATTTACTTCACTGGACTCACTTGAGCAAAAAGGGACATTCTCAAGAGACTCTGGGATTGTTTATGCATTCGAATTTGGAATCTTTACTTATTTGGCTCCAGCTTATCTACGCCTTCCTAAGTGATGAGAGATCTATCACACCATGTGGCAGAATGAGGCATATCTCATGCAACCTTTCTGAAGCTTTTCTCCATCAACTGATAAAAGCCCACATTCAAAACAAGGCCCCTTATGGCAAACCTAAGATTTGTAAGTGCATTAGTTACTTCCCTTGGATTTTTTTTCTCTTTCAAAAAGTGAACAAGCTAATGTGAAATAATGCTCTGGCTGAATATAGTTTGCCTGAGGAATCTACAGAACCATCCCAAAAAGGAACCTTAGAAAATGATGGAATGAGGATGGACTATCTCTTCTATGGGAAGATATTATAGTGAACAAGACTCTCTCTCAGTCATTATTTTATTTATCTATTTACTTATTCAATTTCTGAAGGGTCCTTGGTGCTCTCTGAACTTGGTTGTTTTCCTGCAGACATTTCATTAACCAAACTAGGTAACATCATCAGTGTTGGGAGCAGTGCTGGGAACACTGATAGTGTTAACTAGATTGGTTAATGAAACACCAACAAGAAAACAAGCAAGCTCAGAGGGGATCAAGGACCCCATGTTTCAACCCGGAGTTAAGAATTTTGTACAAATAGATTGGCCAGATGGACAGCAGATGAAATTTTTAAAAAATGGAATGTGATTCCTAAACATTTCTCACCTTATAGATGTGCTTATTTCACTATTTCAGAAGGAAAAATGATAAAATTTAGCCTGACAAAGAGTAACAGCATTTGTAATCACGTACTTTCATTTACACACTCATTTTTAATGCCTGTTTTGGAAAAATTGCAACACTTTTACTGAATTGAGTAGCTCTTCACTGCAACTTGAATTTAGAAAAGATATAGAAAAAAATGTTCCCAAATACTGGAAGTTTAGAACAGTAACTTTCCTTATTCCCACCCTCCAAATCGAGTCTTAAATCTCCAGTTATGACTGACATTCCCAATTTAAATGTTATTTTAAATGCCTGTGTTTTCTTTTCTTGCACTCTTCAATCACTCGGTATACAAGTGAGAAAGAGCTCTTGATTTCTTTAAAACGGTTGACTTCATGAGTGTGAGTTGCCCTGAACGGTTAAAATAATATTATGATAACTTGATCATAATGTTTATATCATTTAATTTTTTTGGAAAGAGAAGTTTGGACTTTCATTTCTTGTTGGTCTTTTTCGTGTCTACCCATTTTTGTTTAAAATACAGCAACACAAAAAGAACAGAAGCAGAGCGTGAATAATGATTTGACTACTGAATAGCAGTAGTCAAAAATACAAAACTATACCAAGAGAGTCTACATGGGATATAATTTCGTCAAATATTCCTAGTGTGGGAAAACACAGGGAATGAGAAGGTGCTCACCTTCTCCAGGATTTCAAGCAAACTCCCTTTCCACCAAGGAACACCCCCTTTCAAAATGAAATCCACCATCTTTGAGTTTCTGAACATTTCTCCCAAACATTTCACCATCTTGTCAATAGCATCCATGGCGGTCTCCCATCTTCTTCATCTTTTCCTGGTACTTGGAAGCATCACGATGGTGTCATGCCCCTGTCGGAGTCTGAATCAGAGGAGGAAGCCAGACAGCTGACAGGGAGTGGGAGTGTGGCTCCGTTGGCTGTGGAGGAAACTGGGGAAGGGTAAAGTCTGGCTGGGCAGAGCAGGGAAGAGATAGAACAAGGGAGAGATAGTTCAGAGGAAGAATCAGGCCCACCCCCTCTTCATCCTAGAGCATGCAGGGAGGAATGGAGAAGAGAGCAACGTGGGTTGCCTGGCTTACGAGGGAGGAAAGGGCCCTGATTCCCTTCATTAGCCACACCTGGGAAGACAGTTGATAAGAAAGGCAGGCTGTATGTGGCAGGCTGCTGGGAGCAAACATGACTTTATCCTGTGTTATCATGGCTTATCTATGTTCCTGGCATCTTCCCAACCGTGTGAGTTTTGCTGTGCCTTCAAGTCTGAAATTCTTGCTTCTGTCCTGCCAAACGAATTACTTCAGTTTGGTTTGTTTGGACTTTAAGTTTGTGTTGCTCATGTTTTGGACTTAATTTTCTGCAGTCAAAGACTATTCCTGGGAGAGTTTTTCTCCAGCCAGAAGGCAACCTGGACATTGGGGGCAAGGTTGGAGATAATAAAGGGATTCTTATTGCTTATCTGTGTTGCCTTTGTGCCACGCCTCGGGTCATCACAGATGGCTTGCTTCCATCAGGTTCAAAAATCTCAGTGTACAAATTTTGAGTTTCTACAGATGAATTCCACAGATTGGGTCAACACAAGATCATAATACACTTAGCCGATGGAGGCCTTTTCCAAAGTCATCAATCCCTTCGTTAAATTTCTGGAGTTTTTCCAGTCAAGCCTTCTTGGAAATGCAACAGCTTATCTACCTTTTCATTGAGAAGGTTGAGTTTTCATCCATGGTGTTTACACAAGTGCCTTTCATAACCTGAGGCCTATTTATAAATGCTTCTTCAGACCTCGGGGTGCTTTCAGACATTCTGAGAAGGGATTAAATGGCCAGGCGCTTTACTTGCTGGAACTAAAGGGCAGTGCTTGGAAATTATATCGGTCTCTAGAAGGAAGCGAACATTCTAGAACCTGCTAAGAGCATGTCATCTATTAGCTGCTATGTAACCCACTCGTTTCATATTATCTGTTTTCTTCTTGCATGTATATAATGATGATGATGACAAGTTGGCAGTCGGTTTGAAGAGTCCCTCCCCAGCAGCCTTCCTGCCGTCACAGAACCATTTAAAATTCTTCCCTTGAGAGGCTGTTGATAACCAAGCATCTTAAGAATTGGCAGCAGCTGAATAGCTGAGATTCGTCTCGAGAAGAGGGAAGTTGGAATTCTGTACCGGATTTTCTGATGGTGCAAAAAAACCAGTTTACAGAGTGATTTTTTTCGAAGGAAGGAGGAGGGTGGGAAGGAAAAACTGAATGGGGAATTGAAGCAAGATTAAACTCCGACTCGATAAAAAAAACAGGGGTTTGTTGTCGAATACAAAATGTACACATGTTGGCCGACACGCATACTGGCCATGCTTAAAATTGGCCAGCAGTCAGGATGTTAAAAATAGGACGTTAACGACAATGATACAAAACATGCATCCCTCGCCAGCGTGCCTTTCAAAGCAGAAACAACTCAAATCGAATTCTTTTGGTTGTGCCAAGAAAGCCTTCTGGCCTTTTTTTAAAAAAAAGAAGAAATGGCAGATCAAAATTGTTTTTTATGATTAATAGCAAAATCATTACTGTTACAGGCTACTTCACACACACACCCCCCAAAAAAAATTCTTCTGTTCAAGTTTGCATTTTTACACCAGGGATCTTTTAGTAGGGGGTTTAACATGAATTACATTCCCTAAGAGGACACAAAGGTTTGCCTACTTTTTCTATATTCACACAAATGAAGGCTATTGCAGCGGGTTGTTTGAAGGGTATTTTCCCCCCCTCAATGTCCAGATTTTTACAGAGTGTGAAGATTAAGGTAGATGGTCTCCACAAGCAAGGTCAGTTGTTTGTTACTCTTTGGTCCGTTGAATGAAGAAATGCCATCCAGAAGAGCCTCTTCCCTTCACCATCCAAAGCCTTTCACCCTTTGTCCTCCAATGAGATCCCGTTTCCAGAACCTGTATTTTAATCTCCAGGGAAGATAGTCCAGATTATAATTGAAGTCACAAATCTCACTCCAGCCTCTGAACCAACAGTCCAATCTGTATTGGATCTCTAGCAGTGGTGGGATTCAAATGTTTTTACCGGTTCTGTGGGCGTGGCTTGGTGGGTGTGGCTTGGTTTGGTGGGCGTGGCTATAAAAATCTCCATTTCCTCCCCACTCCTGGGGGGAGGTTACTGCAAAATCTCATTCCCTCCGCACCCCACTGACCTGCTTTCCAGCTCCATTCTCCTGTGCAGGGCAACAAAAGGAGACTCACCCAATCATCTGGGACTCAATGGGAGGCAGAGAAGAGATGGGGTTGGCGGGGCCAGTCAGTGGTGGTATTTGCCGGTTCTCCGAACTACTCAAAATTTTCACTACTGGTTCTTCAGAACTGGTCAGAACCTGCTGAATACCACCTCTGATCTCCAGCATCAAGTTTTATGGGAGATTGGCATTTTAATAACTGTTATCTTGATTAATTCATGTGCCCCTCTGGACACCTTCAGGAAGCAGAGTGGGATTAAATGAATACAGAGAGTGAAGCAGGTCCCCAACTTTGTGTCGTTCTCTCTGTGTGTAATGGTATGTGAGGATGGCCTTGGGAGACAGGAGGGAGAACCCCAGTCTGGATAACCTGTATATAAAAGGTATCTCTTCCCACAGAAGGAGGGAGGATGTGGGAAAGATTTTAGAAGGAACCCTCCCAATGACAGCTACTGGGAGTTGTGATCCAACAAGTTTACAGATTACAGATTAACAGACTTGGAAGGCACCGTGTAGGTCATCTAGCCCAACCCCCTGCTCAAGCAGGAGACCCTATACATTTCTGACAGATGGCAGTCAAGTCTCTTCTTGAAAGTCTCAAGTGATGGTATTCCCACAACTTCCGAGGGCAACTTCTGTTCCATTGGTTGATTGTTCTCACTGTCAGAAAGTTTCTCCTTATTTCCAGGTTAAATCTCTCATTGATCAGTTTCCATCCATTATTCCTTGTCTGGCCTTTGGGTGCTTTGGAAAATAGCTTGACCCCTTCCTCCTCTCTGTGGCAGCCCCTCAAATATTGGAAGACTGCTATCCTGTCTCCACTGGTCCTTCTCTTCACTAGACTAGCCAGGCCCAGTTCCTGCAACTGTTCTAAAACATATGTTTTAGTCTCCAGTCCCCTAAGATGAGGAGAGCTATCTCAAAGGTGCCTTTTCCAAAAGGCAGCTGGACTGGGTTTTTTCCCCCTGAAAAGGAAGAAGAAAACATTTCGCTTCTCATCCAAGAAGCTTCAATGTTTTAAAAGAAGACAAGAAGAAAGAAGAAAGCAAAATATTTTCTTCTTCTTCTTCTTCTTCTTCTTCTTCTTCTTCTTCTTCTTCT